AAGTCAATGGAAAGTGAAGAATGAAAACCGAACCAAGAAGATTTAGGTCGGTCCTTTGGGTCTGGGGTGGTGGAATTCCCTGGAAATAGACTCTGAGAAAGAGATTTGCATGAGAAACTTAATTGGGGAGTGCTCTCCAGGAGATCACAGTGGGAGGGTAAGCGAGGCCAGGTGGAGGGAGGATTTGAGCAGCCGAAACAAAGACCTCGGCTGATCCTCCCAGGAGCGCTGAAGCTAGGACTGCTCTTCAGAGTTTTCTCTGTTGAAGCGAGGAGAGCAGCCTTTGATGACTCTCCACCCACCACCGGATACAGGCAGCTCCCAGGGAGAGGGCAGGCGTCAGCTTGAGTGAGGTGTCCCTTTGGTGGACGTCATTTTGTGGAGTGGGACTCAGCAGACCGCATTCTTGGCACGGGGTGGGGCGGGGCGGGGATGAAAGCCTCAGCAATAAAGGGGATATTAGGCACACACCAGGATGTCCACTGCAAGGTTTTAAGTGGGTTCTTTCCCCCAAAAAAGTAGTTACAAAAAGAATAGAAAAATCTTGGCCCGCCGGGCGCGGTGGCTCAAGCCTGTAATCCCAGCACTTTGGGAGGCCGAGGAGGGTGGATCACGAGGTCGAGAGATCGAGACCATCCTGGTCAACATGGTGAAACCCCGTCTCTACTAAAAATACAAAAAATTAGCTGGGCATGGTGGCACGTGCCTGTAATCCCAGCTACTCAGGAGGCTGAGGCAGGAGAATTGCCTGAACCCAGGAGGCGGAGGTTGCGGTGAGCCGAGATCGCGCCATTGCACTCCAGCCTGAGTAACAAGAGTGAAACTCCGTCTCAAAGTAATAATAATAATAATAATAATCATCATCATCATCATCATCATCTTGGCCCAAACTTGAATAACCACATAGGAAAAAGCTGGCCACTGACTAGGAACCCCCATGCTCGGGTCCCTAACTGGGGAGGGAGAAAGGTATTGTGTCAAATCAGTAACATTTAAGAGTTATTAGATACAGCTGCTAGTGTTGCACTAATGAAACAATTAAAAACTATGAGAAATGCTGTGACTGAAAAGAACTGGGTTCTATTTGAGGAGTTAAATCGGAGATGAAGATTAGTTACCTCTGAGTACAAATGAAATGGACCAAACGTACATTACTAGTATCTTCTAATCACTCTACTCTTGTAATAGTTAATAAATGAATCAGCTAATTCATTTGTTCTGATATGTCACTGTCTACAAAGGCCATATTCCTACAAAGAGGTTAGTTTGAAATCAAACTAAGCTATGTATCCTATGAGTGACTATCCATCTCTCAGAATTTATCTTAAGGAGAATAATGTAAGTCATCTCTCAGAATTTATCTTAAGGAGAATAATGTAAGTCAAAAGAAAATTCGGCTGCATACGGTAAAACAGGAATTGGAAATTTCTTTTTGGTAAATGACCAAATAGTACATATTTTAGGCTTTGTGGGCCACACAATCTTTATTGCAACTCCACTCTGCTGTGCTAGTGTGAAAGTGACCATACATGAATGAATGGATCTGGCTGTGTTCCAATACAACTTTATTTACAGAAACAGGTGGCGGGCCAGATTTGGTCTGGGGCTGTAGTTTGCCAACCCCTGAAAATGTTCAATGTAATATCATTTATAGTAGTTAAAAGCTCAAAAGCAACCTACATGTTTAAAAGTGAGTGGCTACGTAAATTTAAAAATATCCACTTAGATGATTGTATACATTATGTGCAATTATGAAGATTTTATATCAACAGGGACGTTACCAAATATTAAATTTTGTAATAGAAAAATAAGCAACAGGCTGGGTGCAGTGGCTTATGCCTGTAATCTCTGCACTTTGGGAGACCGAGGCGGGTGGATCGTGAGGTCAGGAGTTCAAGACCAGCCTGGCCATCATGGTAAAACCCCATCTCTATTAAAAATACAAAATAGCCGGGCGTAGTGGCGGGCGCCTGCAATCCCAGCTACTCAGAAGGCTGAGGCAGGAGAATCGCTCGAACCCAGGAGGCGGAGGCTGCAGTGAGCCAACACTGTGCCATTGCACTCCAGCCTGGGTGACAGAGTGAGACTCCGTCACGAAAAAAACAAAGAGCAACAGAGCGGAATCTGATTGTAATCAGTAGGATTATAGCCCTGCAAACTTCACATATGTTCTTAAACAAGGGCCAAAATATGACATTGTAGAAACTGTGGAATGGTGGGCCCATGGGGGGATTTAGTTGTTTCAAATAACTTCCGTATTTAATTATATTAATATTTTAAAAATTCGTATTTCTAGAACAAATATCTCAAAAACTTAAAAAAAACCACTAGACCCTTCAACTGAAGAACCAGATGAAAAAAAAAAAAAGCCTGCTGGAGGAATTAATGATGCAGTGAGCTTGTGTGTGTGTGTGTGTGTGTGTGTGTGTGTGTGTGTATGCGTCAGGGTCTCACTCTGTCGCCCAGGCTGGAGTGCAATGGCATAATCTCAGCTTGCTGCAACCTCTGCCTCCTGAGTTCAAGCAATCCTCTTCCCTCAGCCTCCCGAGTAGCTGGCATTACAGGCACCAGCCATCACACCCGGCTAACTTCTTTGCATTTTTGGTAGAGATGGGGTTTCACCATTTTGGCCAGGCTGGTCTCCAACTCCTGACCTCAGGTGATCCACTTGCCGCAGTCTCCCAAAGTGCTGGAACTACAGCCGGTGAGCCACTGCCCCTGGGCTGCGATAGATATTTTAATTTAGGTATATTAACATGCCCACTGCATCGTTAATTCCTCCAACAGCTTCTATGACACAGTTAGCTATGGTGGGAATGCTGGCAAAGCCCAACAGAACCGCTAAGTTATTTTCGTGGCTAGCAGCTCTTCCATACTTCACCACTAACAAAAAGCCCACTTTGTGAACTGACCAAGAAGACTGCAAGCCTTTGCAGACACTGTTCCTCCTCCAGAGCACCCTTCCACCTTTTCCTCCTGCCTTGCCCCTTCCCATGCATTAGGTCTCAGCCTGGAGCTTTGTTCTGCAGGAAGGTCTGACCACAGACGGGAGGGAACCCTGTTACCTGTGTTCACAGCATCCTCTACCATAACGTTCATCACCCTTCATAATGCTTCACCATGCTCAGCACCCTGGCACTAGCCACACTTCACTGATTCACAGACGCCAATTCTTTCACATTTTCATTCCCTCAACTCAGGGCCTTTCTTTCTTTCTCTCTTTCTCCCCTTCCTTCCTTCCTTTCCTTCCTTCCCTTCCCTCCCTCCCTCCCTCTCTTTCTCTTTCTTCTTTCTTTTTTTATTTGACAAGGTCTCACTCTGTCACCCAGGCTGGAGTGCAGTGGCTCACTGCAACCTTTGCCTCCTGGGTTCAAGTGATGATCGTGCCTCAGCCTCCCAAGTAGCTGGGATTCCATGCATGTGCCACCATGCCCGGCTCATTTTTTAAATATTTTTAGTAGAAACAGGGTTTCACCATGTTGGCCAGGCTGGTCTCTAACGCCTGACCTCAAATGATCTGCCTGCCTCGGCCTCCCAAAGTGCTGGGATTACAGGTGTGAGCCACGGCGGCTGGCCGAGTCAGGGTGTTTCTTACAATGGCATTGGAAAAACAGTTGTGTAGTTTCCACTGCCTGTGCATGTGGCAACATCCAAGATGCCAGCGTCAAAACGTGTGGCATAGGTGCCAGCAGGAGGAAGAAAATCCCAGAGACAAGAGTAGAGCAGCTTGACCTCAGGGGTGCAGGGCTGATGGCGGGGACGGTCACTCAGGGGTGGCTTAGCAGCATTCCCAAAGTGGGAACCAAAAGCCGGTGTCCAAGCCCAGCGCTGATGGCCCGTAGTTTCTGTATGGATTCTTGTGAGAAATGCTGCATGGCTCACACTCTTGATGGCATAGAGGACAACAGCTTGTGTAGAAACATCTAAAAATAAAAAGATTCAGAAGAGGAAGGCTCTGGTTCTAAAAAAGTTTTAGGGATATCTCAACCAATTTATTTTTCTTCACATATTTTCCTTTTTATATATTCACAAAAATATATAAAATCTATATTTAATCTAAAAGAGTTCTTTCAATAACCGTAAGACAAAAATTCTAAATGGTAAGAGAGATTCGTGTTACCACATAATTGATATTTTTCTTTCTTTCTTAGGGAGTGGCTAAAACAATGGCGCCTTTGATGTGGTGAAATACCATCCTTTTTTAGGGTCCTGATTTTCTGCGACAGGGAAGCTGGCTGTGCCTCATTCACAGCTGTGTCCCCCGTGGCTCTCAAGGGCTGAGGCAGAGCAGTCACTCTATAAACATCTGATGGAGTGACTTAAGGTAGTGCCGCTGCCAGGCAGAGGACCACGCCAAATAGCTAACACTCAGGGCATCCGAAAGTGAGAATGCCACTGTTGGCATTTGATTCTCTTAGCCTTTAATCCAGTTGGTGATGCCGCTATTCAGTGTTTCCTGGTGTTGCTTTAAATTAAACCTGGCCCTGATAGCTTGCTAAGCTGACGGACACTTCTCCCATCCCTCTGCTTGTCTCTGTTTGCTTCTGCTGTTTTGATTGGGAGTCTGCCGAAACCTGTCAACTCAATAAGAAAAAAGAAAGATGCCATCACAACAGGCTGGCAGCTACTACAGAAACGGCATCTCTCTCGCAAACTGCCGGGGGGTGGGGGTGAGCTGCTCCAGGACAGGCATCCTAGCCTCTCTTCGCTGGGGGACCCACCTGTGCCTTCTCCCAACTTCTTGGCTCACGGGCTGGAAGATACATGCGCCAGACCCATGGCCTGTTCTGAACCCGGCAGAGGCGCTCTTTCCACTGCTGGGCCCACAACCAGGCCCTTCCCTCAGTAGGTGCCTCATTATTGCATCTTCTAGAGAAGACCCGAGTCTCTCAAACCTTTCATCTGTGCTGACTTTTTGGAAAGCAGTGCTATTACCAAAGGCTTTGTCAAAGAAAACATGCAGGTGTTCATTTGAAAAAAGATCATTTCCTGTGTTCCAGGCACCACCTGAGGAACTGGACACCCCGTGGTGACCTGGACAGAAAGGTGGCAGCCCCTCTGCAGTTCAGGTCTTGGTGGGGAAGACCCACCACAACAGGTAATGAAGTGAACTGAACGAAGGGATTCTGGCTGGCAAAGTGCTATAATGAAATTGGAACCAGGAAACAGGATAGGGTGATTGATAGCAGGGTGGGGCTGGGGACTACTTTAGCTGAGGGGCTGGGGAAGACCCTTCTGAGGCAGCGCAGGGGGCAGTCCAGCGGGGAAGCAGGCACACCCTAGACCTGGGTTTATTTTCATTTCCTCACCTATAAAGTATGCAAAATGAGAGTACATAAATGATAGCGCTATTGTGAGGATTAGATGAGGTGAGTCACATCACAGCATACAATAAGACGGTAGTTAGCCACTGTCCCAAGGAGGTGACATCTTAGCTAAGGCTTTTTAAAAGAACAGGACATCCAGTAAAGCTCAACTTGAACTATTAACTTCAGATAGGAAGTCTGCAAAAGGGACTTTTGTGGAAACAAAGGCATTCCAGTTCAGATGAGGAGTGCCCAACGTGATTTCTCTTCTTTCTGTGTCTTCTGCCTCCAGTGTAGCTACAAAATGCAGAGAATCAGAGGGTCCCACCACACCGACTTTAATCCAACGAAGGGACAGCTCTGTCCTGGACTCTGCACAAATGTCGAGGTCATGAAGAAAAAGAAAGACTGAGAACCTGTTCCAGATGGAAGGAAATTAGAGATGTGACACTGAATACACCTTATGATCTGGGATGGGATCCTAGACCCCAGGACATTAGTGGGTCAGTGGCAAGATCTGAGTAAGGCTTGTAGATAAGATAATCGCCCTGGTGTCATTAACTCAAACCTGATTTGAGTAACTGCACTGCAGCTCTATAAGAAAAGGTCTTTCTTAGAAAATGCATGCTGAAGAACTGATGGCCAAAAGAGCATGAAGTCTGCAGCTCACTCTCAAATGGTTTCTAGAAAAAAGTAATAGCATGTATACAAATGGAAAATGATCAAACAAATATGAAACGGTAACAAACGGAGAACCTGAGTGAAGGGGAGATGGGGAGTTCTTTGTACTGTTCTTTTTTTTTTTTTTTTTTTTTCTTTTTGAGACGGAGTTTTGCTCTTGTTACCCAGGCTGGAGTGCAATGGCGCGATCTCGGCTCACCGCAACCTCCGCCTCCTGGGTTCAGGCAATTCTCCTGCCTCAGCCTCCTGAGTAGCTGGGATTACAGGCACGCGCCACCATGCCCAGCTAGTTTTTTGTATTTTTAGTAGAGACGGGGTTTCACCATGTTGACCAGGATGGTCTTGATCTCTCGACCTCGTGATCCACCCGCCTCGGCCTCCCAAAGTGCTGAGATTACAGGCTTGAGCCACCGCGCCCGGCCCTTTGTACTGTTCTTGAAAAGTTTTTGTAAACCTGGGATTATTTATAAACAAAAAGTTACAAAAATATATAATTAAGAGACTTAAATCATCCAATACTTCTACAAACACTAAAAAGATAGCACCCAATTCACAAGTAGTAGATTAAGCAATGCTAACTTGACCACTTTAATACATGTGTTTTTGAGCTGCAGTAGGCTCATCTTTCAAGATTCTGCTAGGAGGCAGTAAGATTTATTTGGCATTCCGATGGTTTAAGGGAATCTGGGGATACTTCATTCATCATCTGTGGAAGGCTAGAGGCAGTGCTTCTTTGGAATGGACTTTTCCATCTGTCGCCCCCACCCTGCCAACTGAGAAGCGCCCTCTGATGTTTTCTTCCGTCCTCATTGTTCTGTTTTTCTCAGCAGAAATTCAAGGACTGCTTCTCTTGTTGAATAAGCTATCAAAGAAAAAGATGTACTCAAAGCGGACTGAGATGTCACTGCCAGTCTGAGAGGCAGACAGTGTGGCCATCACTTTTCTGAAAGTTAATTCCTAGAAATGAGCAAAGCACCCCTAAAAGGAGAAAAATGAAATGTCTGCAGTCTACGATGTTGAAGATTTTTAGAATCTGACTGCAAGGAAAATGTTTAATGGGCTGTATTTGTTTTCTTTATTTTTTCTTGAGACAGAGTCTCTCTCTGTCGCCCAGGCTGGAGTACAGTGATGGGATCTCGACTCACTGCATCCTCCACCTCCCGGGTTCAAATGATTCTCTTGCCTCATCCTCCCAAGAAGCTAGGACTAGAGGTGCCTGCCACCACATCCGACTAATTTTTGTATTTTTACTACAGACAGGGTTTCATCATGTTGGCCAGGATGGTCTCGAACTCCTGACCTCTTGATTTGCCCGCCTCGGCCTCCCAAAGTGCTGGGATTATGGGCATGAGCCACTGTGCCCTGCCTGTATTTGTTTCTTCTGGCTACTATAGCAAGCCCACAGATTTGGTGACTTAGAACAACTGTAATCTGTTCTCTCACAGTTCTCAAGGCCAGAAGTCTGAAATCACTATCACTGGGCTGAAGTCAAGTCCAGAGACTCTGGAGAGACGTCCTGGCCTCTTCCAGCTTCTGGCGGCTGCCCTGCTGCGTCACCCACTCTCTGCCTGGCCTTCACATCACCATCACCTTCTCCTCTGTGTGTCTCTTACGAGGTAACTTGTCACTGGATTTAGGGTCCACCCATTGTAATCCAGGGTGATCCCCTTATTTCAAGAGCCTTAACTTAATTACATGTGAGAAGACTCATTTTCCAAGGAAGGGAATATTCTCAGGTTCTAAGGAAGATACATATTTTGAGGAGATACCGTTCAACCCACTACATCAGGAAAGTAATTTTTTATCCGTAAACTACTGTAAGGCAACTATAAGCAACAGTAGTGATCACATCCATGAATTCAGGAGCTACGTCATCACCCACCTAGTAGACTTACTGTCAGCAAGCAGACCCCTGTCAGGCTCAGGGGATGCTTGTATGCTACACAGTTCTTTCCTCTGCCCAGCATGGCAGCCAGAAAACAAGGTGTACTGCTTGATAATGGGGACACTGAGGAACCCTTGAAAAACCATCATCGGCCAGGTGTGGTGGTTTACACCTGTAATCCCAGCACTTTGGGAGGCCGAGGCAGGGGGATCACCTGAGGTCAGGAGTTCAAGACCAGCCTGGTCAACATGGTGAAACGCTGTCTCTAAAAAATAAATAAATAAATAAATAAATAAAAAGAAAAGCCAGTGTCACATTATCAACACAAAGGTCCGCATTGCCTCTTTCACTTTTCCCCAGTGAAACAGTGTGTGTCACGAAGGCCCCCGCTCCAGAAATCAAGTATCTGATCTCCAGGAAACTTTTTCTGTGGTTGTGGCCTTAGGGCTTTCCAAGGAGTTAAAAAAGATGTGGTCAAGTTATTTGTGTTACTGCGACATTGCTTGTAACTCTCCTGAAAATGGTCGCAGAAATAATTTTGCTATTGACTGTATTTTCTGTTCGGGGAACATTTTTTTCCCTCCCCGTGTTTCAAATGCGAGTTGCAAACTGTAACACAACTCTTTCAGTGGACAGTAAAAAGTAACATCAAAAGTCTGGTGAGATCTGTAAGGCAGCTGCCTGGCACGGCAGATCCAGGGGCATGCCTGGGCAAGAATACAGATAAGCCAGGTTTGCAAGTGGAAGGAAGGTGTGGTCAGATTTGTATGTCCACAAAGTGCATCAGCTTGAAGCCTTGGCAGACACCAGATAGATGGGAGGCAATTCCACAATTCAGATGGCTCCTATGGAATAGCAGCAGGGACCCCCTTGGTGCCCTGCTCGGATTCCCAGGTTTCCTTTCATCAGGTCTGTGCATCCGTCCCCCAGCTACTGTGGGTGCTGCTGGTAACTCCGGACACCTGCACCCTCCTGCTGATGATTTCCCCTTGAACAACTAGAGCTGTCTGATTCGGAGATCCCTGGGAGTAGATGTTCCCTTCTCTCTGGTCTGTAGGCAATGAAAGGTATACAAAAGCCCAGCTCCCTTGTCTCCACACAGGGCAATCTTCATGGTGCAGTTCACTCTCCAGTGTGCCCCACAGAATCAGGCTGAGGCTGAGCTGCTGACCCTCGTCTTTGTCCTGCTCTTCCTACCCTTGCTTCCTTTCCTCGTTCAATAAACCGGTTGCACAAGAATCCCCGTATCTAGCTCTGCTTTTAGGGAAGCTGACTTGAACACTCCCTGTAAGAGACCTTGGGAGAGTGGAGCAGTGGAATGCTGAACACTGAGCACTAGGTAGAGTCCTTCTCCATGACAGCGGACGCGGAAGACTTCTGAAGCCCTCTGGGAGACGATCACAAGTTGATGTTGAGAAGCTGAGTTTCAGGACCCGTGAAAACATGTTCATAAGCATGCAACGTTTGCTGCAGGTCCTCTACTTCTAGGATTTGCTCCTTCTCATATTCTTGCACATACACAAAACTATGATATGTACACGAGTAACCATGACAACACGGCCAGATAACAAAAGGTGGGAAATAGCCCGAATGGCTGTCAGTGTGGACTGGTTAAACAGAGTAAATCCAGCCGGGCGCGGTGGCTCAAGCCTGTAATCCCAGCACTTTGGGAGGCTGAGGCGGGCAGATCACGAGATCAAGAGATCGAGACCATCCTGGTCAACATGGTGAAACCCTGTCTCTACTAAAAATACAAAAAATTAGCTGGGCATGGTGGCACGTGCCTGTAATCGCAGCTACTCAGGAGGCTGAGGCAGGAGAATTGCCTGAACCCAGGAGGCGGAGGTTGCGGTGAGCCGAGATCACACCATTGCACTCCAGCCTGGGTAACAAAAGCGAAACTCCGTCTCAAAAAAACAAACAAACAAACAAACAAACAAAAAAACAGAGTAAATCCATTCTCTGGAATACAATGCAGCTATGAAAGAGGAGGAGAATGAGGACACTTTCTGAATGGATATGGAATTATCTCCAAGACAGAAAGTTGCATAATGCAAGTACAGAGCAGTGAGTGTAGGTATGCTCTTACCTGGGACAGGAGGGGAGGCACACGCAGAAGTGTGAAATAACTCCCAAAGGTTATGCAGGAAACTGGCGTCACCAGCAGCCTCTTGTATACTTGCAGAGAGGAAAACTGATAATTGGGGGAATTTTGGTACATTTTGAATCTGATCATGTAAATATTATCTATTCCAAAAAGCAAATACAACTTAACAATGCACAACCAGAGCTACTGCTTGCATCCGGACTTTGTTTTGGACTTGTTCCAAGAGAACGCCATGGAAGAGGCTGACAGCTCAGAAATGGAGTCGGTTTGTATAACCGACAAAATATGGAAATGGAGTCAGTTTGTATAACTGACAAGGTATTTATGTGTTTAATTTTTCAAGAGATGGGTCCTGTTACCTAGGCTGGAGTGCAGTGGCATGATCAGAGGTCACTGCAGCCTTGAACTCCTGGGCTCAAGCAATCTTCTGGCCTCAGCCTTTTGAGTAGATGGGACCACAGGCATGCGCTATCACACTTGGCTCAGACAAGATAAACTCCCTACCTCGGTTTCCTTATCTGTAAAGTGGAAATACATCTCACAGGGATATTGTAATGATGAATGAGCTCTTGCATGTAAACCAGGCCACAGGATGCCCAGAGCACTAACTTAACAGATGGACTGACCCCACAGGAATGGAATGATGTGTGACCACCGCCCAGTGATAAGCACGACCCCGCCTGTTGTCACTCCAGTTCCCTTGCTGAGGAGCAGCCATCAGAGCTCCAGCTTTCATGGAGGATAAACAGGCTTTTGTGAGTGCATTAGTTATTTATTGCTTCACAACCAATTAACACGAACTTGGCACCTTAACACAACATTCATTTATCATCCCACAGTTTCCACAGAGCAGGAGTCTGGGCAGAAGGCCACCGTTCAGGGTCTCACAAGACTGTAATAAGAGGTTGGCCAGGCTTGGGGTCCTCTTCTGAGCTCACATGGTTGTTGGTTTCAGTTTCTTGTAGCCATAGGTCTCAAGTCCCGTTTTCTTGCTGGCTGTCAGCTGAGCGCTGCTCTGGTTTCTAGGCATGATTCATGGATGCCTGTCATGTGGCCCCTCCCGGGCCCTCTCTCAACAAGGCAGTTTACTTCTTCTGAGCCAGCAGG